CCTTAAAATTCCCTCTGATCCTTTTTCTAAAATTTATAATTTGTCAGTCCATATTTTAATTATTTTTATTTTATATATATATAAAATTTTATGTGTCCATGTTTTAATTTTATGTGTATAAAATTTTATGTGTCCATATTTTAATTATTTTTATGTGTATGAATGTTATGTCTGCATGTATGTAAGTGTACCTGTGTCATGCACCTGTATCACCTACAGAGGTCAAAAGGGGGCTTCTGTGAACAGGAGTATTTTCAGGCCCAACAAGCTTCTGGCGAGTCTTGTGAAGAGAATCCAAGCTATGGAAGCAGAGGCCGAGCTGAGGTGTCACGGGTACAGGGAGAAGCTCCATTACCTCTGGAGGAGGATGGGGAGCTTCTCTGTTTGGTGTGCCGTTAGTTCAAGGACCACAAATCCCATGATGCCAGCCTGATAGAAGAGGTTGCTCAGAACTACCAGGTAGACCCTGGGCCTTTCCCTGCGCTCCCCAAGAGGAAGACATGGGGACATGGGTCCTGCTGCTGCTCCACTGGGTTGGCACCCATGTCCCACTTCCTGCTCCTCAGTGGGCAGTTTGTACCCAGGCCCAGGGGCTCCAGCAGCTCAGTTCTGGGAAATGCCAGTCAACAATCAAGGCAGGAGAGAATGGTCAGAATGGGAATTTTGACCCAGAAGGTCTGGGTAGCTGGTAGTTGACACTCCAGAAAGAAGCTATTTTATATGACTTTATGTAGGTCAGTGTTGTCAGCTTGTGGTCTTAGGAACTCAAATAGGCTAAGAGAGGAGGCTTGTATTAGTCATTTTTCTGTTGCTGTGATAGAAACACTGACCAAAGCAATTTATAGAAGGAAGAGTTTATTTGAGCTTATGGTTCTAGGGGAGTTACAGGCCATCATGGCAGGGAGGCATGGTGGTTGGACGTGGCTGGATCAGGTGCAGTAGAAGCTAAGCTCTCATATCATCACACAGGCACAGGAAGCAAGAGAGTGACTGGAGATCTGGCAAGGCTTAAGAACTCTCTAAGCCCACCCCCAGTGACGTGCTTCCTCCAGGATAGCCACACCTTCTAAACCCTCCCAAAATAGTGCCATCATCTGGGGACAAAATGTCCAAATACTTGGAGCCTATGGGGGACATTTTCATTCAAACCACCACATTCCATCCCCTGGCCCCCATAGGCTCATGACCATATAAAATGCAAAATGCATTTAAGTCCAACTTTAAAAGTCCCCATAGTCATCATCGATTTCACTACTATTCAAAAGTCCACAGTCCAAAGTCTTTTCTGAGGCTCAACTAAATATCTTAACTGTAAGCCCTTGTAAAATCAAAAGAGAAACTGCATACTCCCAACACACAGTGGAACCGAATACACATTCCCATTCCAAAAGGGAGGAATGGGGGCATAGTGAGGAAATACTGGACCAAAACAAGACTGAAAACCAGCAGGGCAAACACCAAATCCATTAGCTACATGTGTAACTTCTGGGACTTCCAAAGGGCTTAGATGGCTCAGCCTCTCTAGCTTTGCTGCGTGCAACACACATCTCTCTCTTGTGCTGGTACCACTCCCTGTGTGCAGGTCTTCTTGGCAGATGCCTCACAGCTCTGGCATCATGGATGTCTTCTTGGGGTCTCCATTGCCAACCAGGCTTCACCTTCACAGCTTCATGCAATGGCCTATCAGGGCCTTCTCTAGGCAGGGGAACCCCTGCTTCATGCTGCCTGGCCTCCCAGGCTCTCTGAAACCTCGGAGGAAGAATTGATGACCCCTTCACTCTTCCATCTTTCATGCCTCTAAAGCCAGAACCGGGTGAATGACACTGCCAGAGAAGAATTGATGACCCCTTCACTCTTTCATCTTTCATGCCTCTAAAGCCAGAACCGGGTGAATGACACTGCCAAGTTTAACTGCAAGTTTGGCATGGACTCCAGCCTGCTTTATCCATTTTAGAAGCTTTTCTCTTCAGTGGTCCCTGCAGCATTTTCCTTTCACAAGATGGAGGCTTAACTGGGTATGGTCTTGCCCTGGAGGCACTCTCTCCATTGTTTAAGTCCTAATCTCTTGGCCCCTCCTTAATCACTTTAATCTTGCTAATCACTTTAATCTCCTTATCCAGGGGATCTTCTCCATCACATGCCAAGCCTCCATTAATCTTCCTAGTGCTCTTTTTCAATCCATCCTGTATGTTCTGTATTTCTTTCTGCCCCATTTTCTCTTTTTTATTGTAAATGAGTATAATATTCACCATTAACAGCCATGCCACCATTTCTATGTTATGTTGTTCTGCTAGAGAAATTAGTCCATGGCTTTTCAATTTAGCCTCAGGTAAGCTTTTTGGCTGTGGGCAGACTTCAGTCATACTCTTTGCCAAAATATCCCAATTGCTGCTTAAGTCCTTATTTCCCTCTGGAACTACATTGTTCTCAGCACTACTTTCTTCCAGGCATCTA